TTAGTAAGAAGAAGAAGATGTCGCAGGAGGAACTAAACGAGGCTAAGAAGGCAGTTTTCATTAGCGCCATGTATGAGGACATTACTCCTGTCAACTCGCCACCGCGTCCGTCAACAGAGTATGATCCAATCAGTGAAGATGAAGATTGGCCGTCCATTGGATCCGAGTTAGAAAATGAGCTTTTGAACTCAACAAATAACGCCGAAGTAAATGCGTTTTTAGAAGACATTTTAAATGGCAGTGAGGATGTGCATTCAAACCTCAACGAATCTAGAGACTCGGAAAAGAGCGTTGCGGAATCGATGCCAAATTCAACCACAGTGACGGAAACCATAATTCTAACCAGAAGTCTCTGTCGAGACTGTAGCTCTACTGGTTTATACTTGAAACAAAGGAAGAGAAAAGTAGCATTTGGGACTTGAGACTTTAAAACAGCAATAAATAGAAAAATGATCCTTGCTACTCATCAAAATCAAAAACCAATGCACAGAATTATGTATCTTAGTATAGTCTACTTGTGTGCCAAGTTATATGGAAATCGGACTAAAACTGTAGGAGGAGTAGTATTTTGAAAGAATTTCACAGAAATATATATTTTAAGTAACCATGGCAACACCGTTCATCGAAATCAAAAACTGATGCACAGAATTATGTATCTTAGTGTAGTCTACTTTTGTGCCAAGTTATATTGAAATCAGACTAAAATTGTAGGAGGAGTAGCATTTTGATAGAATTTCACAAAAATTTATATTTTTAGTAACCATGGCAACACCGTTCATCAAAATCAAAAACCAATGCACAGAATTATGTATCTTAGTATAGTCTACTTGTGTGCCAAGTTATATGGAAATCGGACTAAAACTGTAGGAGGAGTAGTATTTTGAAAGAATTTCACAGAAATATATATTTTAAGTAACCATAGCAACACCGTTCATCGAAATAAGAAACCGATGCACAGAATTATGTATCTTAGTATAGTCTACTTGTGTGCCAAGTTTATTATATTGAAATCAGACCAAATTTGTAGGAGAAGTAGCATTTTGAAAGCATTTCAGAGAAATTTCTATTTTTTAATAACCAGGGCAACACCGTTCATCGAAATCAAAAACTGATGCACAGAATTATGTATCCTCATGTAGTCTACTTGTGTGCCAAGTAATATTGAATTCAGACCAAAACTGTAGGAGGAGTAGCATTTTGATAGAATTTCTAAGAAAATTCTATTTTTAGTAACCATGGCAACACCGTTCAACGAAATCAAAAACCGATGCACAGAATTATGTATCCTAATGTAGTCTACTTGTGTGCCAGGTTATATTGAAATCGAACCAAAACTGTAGGAGGAGTAGCATTTTGAAAGAATTTCACAAAAATTTCTATTTTTAGTAACCATGGCAACACCGTTCATCGAAATCATAAACTGATGCACAGAATTATGTATCTTAGTGTAGTCTACTTGTGTGCCAAGTTATATTGAAATCAGACCAAAACTGTAGGAGGAGTAGCATTTTGAAAAATTGTTTACAGACAGACAGACAGACAGACGGACAGACAGACGGACGGACGACGGACGCATTACTATCGCATAAGCTCTTCTGGTCTCTGACCAGTAGAGCTAAAAATGACCAAGAAAACCACCTATCATAGTGACGGTAACTCGGAAATTGTTCGTGATACCGAAATCTCACATTCAGAAACTGTGAATCCTGATGAAGTGGACCTTGTGAGATTTGCGACTGACATTTTAAATGAAGTGCCAGAACACTTTCGTAATCAAAATGTGAGAATTGTCGAATTAAAGGATTAAATCTATTGTTACTGACTTCAATGTGAACTTATGCCTTACTGTGAATGTGTAATATGAATTTTATTGTCAATTATGTCTCTATTGTTGGTTTACATTATTCACAGATGTACAATCGGATTTGTTTTTATTAATGCTTTTTGTTTATTGATATTATTGTACATGTATTTGAAAATCTTTTATTACTTTTATTTGATTTATTATGTCAAGTTGAAGTACATGTAATGCTGATTTTATTGTTATCTATCATGTATGTTTTTCAGTTTCAATTTTTTCAGTGTTTCGCTTAGCTTTGTTTTTTTAGTTAGTTTTTTTTTATTATTTTTTTTTTTATTTGAACGGAGTCAAATATTAAGTGGGGGAGAGTTGTAGAGAATTTATATTAGTTGATTGTCAGATTTCGGATTGTTAGCTACTTATTATTAATCTCCCATTTAGCTGTATCACCTTATCTATTAGTAGGCATAGTCAGTTTATTGCCCTTTAATTACAGTGATAATTAGTTAATCACGGGTGGTCCTTGTATAATTTTATGTATTGCCTCCCCACTTAGAGGAGGCAGAATTTTCACTCCCCACATTGTGGAGGCTCAGTTTACTATATAAACTAGATACGATCTCGTTGCGAGCAACGAGTGGTCTTCCGTCCGTTTTAGGAAAAGAAACCCACGTAAAATCGAGCTGAAAAGAGATTCAAAATTTTGGTCACAAGGAGGATTGAAACCATGTCGCCAACGCGAATGCGCATTTTTTTTTACTTTTATATCCCCAACGCGCTAACCATTAAGCTATTGGGAATACTGCTCTAAATAGACTTGTGTATACCACGGTACTTTTGCAACAGTTCACCTGTCTAAGAATTATAAAAAGCATTCATAATTTCGCGCCAAACGCCAGGAGTAAATATTTGCGCCTTTTCTTTGGACTGATCTATTAGATAGGTATGATAGCATCAATTAAATTTTAAAAATAAAACATTCTTAGCGCCTTTATTTTATTTTGACGTTAAGAAAGTATATGTAACACATTATACACATTACATATCGTATCTAGCCCAGTTACACTAAAGCAGTGAAACGGAAATTAAGTTTTAAGATTGACACTCAATTGCAACGTACTACTGTAACGTGTCGGATCTGAGCGGTCAGTAAGTCCGTGCTCGAATTACCGAGTTTTACTGGGGATATGATTGAATGCAATATATACAGATAATAATATGACACCTGCCTGGTGTCTTTAAATCAAATGACCTAAGTGCTTTGTATAATTATATATCTTCAGTTAATACCGGCACCTGCCTGGTGCCATATGATAATTGCCTCACTATACTCGTACAACTGACTATATAAGTCAACATCATTCTATCTGCCTGGTGCCCCTTGATTTAGCCTTTAACATCTGCCTGGTGTATAACTGCTTACCAAGTTGCCTATATAACTTTAGCCAAGTGGCTACAATATACTTACACAGTATGATTTAACTTTGTAAGAGCTTCTCTGTCCTAATGACAGACCTATAGCTAATGCCACACAGCTACATTTTAACTAGTCACTGACTACGGCAACTTTGCACAATCCTATTTGATCGATAAACCAATTGGTTTCTGTGCCAAAGTGAAGACACAAGCCAGTTGGCTGTACTGCCCTCTTGTACTTCAACTTAATCAATGATCATTAGTTATCAGATATCATATTGATAAAATAAAACAGACTGTCTTTCTTTTGGCAACACTATTATTATTTTCTAACAGAACATCATTTATCAATAATACTTGTATAATTCTTTAGTCAATTGACCAATTAATTACAATATTTACATTGATTATCTATTATAATATAAACAAGTAACGGGAGGTAACTCCTCCAACCATTTCACTACTACGTGAGAGTCAAAGTAGTTTTTTACATTTCATGTATCCTTATGTCAGAATGGTTTAATCAAACGCTCAGCTGCCTCCATAAACCCCTACTCGCAAAATGGCGGATTTGACAGAGACAGCCGCCATTTTGGACCCGCTTCAGATTTTTGAATGCAAATATCTAGACTTAAGATTTATCAACATTCAAACAAATTAAATAGTAAGCATTATGAGGATGGCTTCTATTACCATACTAAATAAAAATGAAAAATACTGAAAAACAAAAAAGTTAGAAAATACGATTTTTTTCAGTTTGCAATTCGTAACGACCGGAAGTACTGACGACGCACGAAAAGGCGATTCTGCAACCCACAAAGTCATGATCTATCATCTCCAATAAGTCTCCAGTTCATATCCTTAGCCATTTTCGATAAAAGTGCGCGACAAAATCGCATTTTAAAATCAGGAAATTGTCCATAACTTGGCACCAGAAGCGAATTTTCCAAATTACTCTTCGGATGTAACAACTTCATATAATGACGCATATTTTGTGAAAGTTTCATGAAAAACCACTGAATAGTTTTCGAGAAATCGCCTGCACAAAATTTTGTCAAAAAAAATAATAATAATAAGAATAATAAGAAACAGTAGAATCACTATAAGGTCTTCCGTGAAGACGGAAGACCTTAATGAGCGCATTTGATCATTTAATTTAGGAGGAGATGCAGTAGATGAAGTAGATGAAGTTTAGATGCTGTAGTTTGTGTTTAGAGAGTTGAAGAAAAATTATTCTATAGGGATAGTTGAAGTTAGTGATGCTATAGGATTTTGATAGAATTGATTCAGAAAGGATTTAAACTGGATTACGGGATTTTAGGATTTTATATACTGTATTTTCATTTGGATTATTTTACTATTATTTCTACTGTGAAATGTGGACTATGTGTGTGTGTAAATATTGTGTGTAGACATGTAAATAAATTAGTGAACTTTAATACGGACTTATCATTCAGCACAGAACTGAGGAAAGTTGGAACTTAAAGAGAAAAACCGCTCGGACAATAAATATGTACATAGACACTCGGCAGTATAAGCCGACTTCCCTGCAGCTCGGCCTGCGCTACATTAGACAACTGATCTGAAAATATCAGGTACACTTATATAGTGTATACTAGTATTATAATAAACGTCTACTTGTACAAAATTAAGAGAGAAAATATTTCAAAGACTTTTCGTATAGACAAAAATATTATGGTTACAAAGCTGGAGATAAAAGATATAGACAGGGTAACTATAAAGTTTATTTGCATGGGTTTAATGGCCATACAACATGTATAACTATTGTTAATAACACCCCCTAATTTTTATCTATTTTAATTTAAACGTACTCTAGCCCCACACAGATAGAGATAGATATGTCAGGTATTTAAATCTGGTGACCTGGTATCCAGGTAAATATTTAGAATGAAGACAAGGAAGTAAATTGTGATGTACGGGATTAAAAGGGAAGCCATGTTGGATTTAGAGGTGAGACAAGATTATATTTTGTAAATTTAGTATGCTGCAAAACATTTCCAGATATCATCATTGATCTCAAGTCTAGTACACGTATAATACATTAGATAAATTGCATGAGAGGGCCACTTTAGATCATATTAACTACATGAACTGCTTTGACTGTTATCTAACATTTTTTCCTGATTTTTTTTTCAAACATAAGAAAAGTTTACATGCCATTTTAAAACTACAAATAGATCCTTCCTGTTATTTCTAAACCGACACTGTCCTACAATTTCTCTAACAGAACATAACTCATATTTTATTTATTTAAAATTGCTAACATTTCTGTAGTCAGTGACCGATGCCTCCATTTACTTTATACAGGGTCATCTAACCATTTGACAAACCACCAGTGATGGACCCCCTGGACAGAGCTCAAGTACTCCTCCTCTGTGACGTGTGTCAAAGAGCTGCATTACATAGTCATTGTGAACTTTGTCAGATTAAGGGGGATGTACAAGCCATATTGGATCTAGTCTGGTGTAAAATAAGAAATACCAAGAATGCGCTTAATACTCTACTAAACTAGCCCAAAGTTACTCAAAGTGCTAATGCACTAATTACCTACTGTTAGAGACCAAAATCAGTTAATAATTAAGTTTATTTTGTTTTAATTAGGAGGAAATTAATCATGTTAGAACTGCGCAGCTACAGCATTCACGAGATGAAAAATGCATTGAATATAGTGTTAGTTTGTTTCATTGATAATATGGCTACAACCATTTGTTTCGCTTTTTTCTTGTCATTATCCATAATTCTTGAAAATTTGATTTTTCATATGGGTGTCTTCCTGAGGCCATGTGTTTATTTCGTCCGCCATTCCTCTGTCACACAGAGTTCGAATAGCATTGATTTTAAAATAAATGCGATCATAATAACATCAAGACAAGAAATAACTAAGTAATAATCATTAGGTTATATTACTTACTACTTTTATTTGTTGCATTGCATCGTCTGATTAATGAAAAAAAAGCGATTTTAACCCCACTCCAGCAAATCGGGAAAAACTGTTCTGTTTACAGCTCGAGTTTCCTCGATAATATCATTCCACTGAGCACGTGGTTGGCATGTGCATATATCTGCTGTGGATAGATGCGTTTATTACCATGATTGTATTTAATTTTTCATGGAACAAGTCTTGATGATTTGTTGGTTTCTTTAAAACTCAAGAAAAAAGATAAAACATGTCCTAAACATATGTGATTACGGTGGGTCTTTTTCCTGTGGCGATAGAAGTTATTTTCAAATGGGGCACTGCAAGGAGGATGCTTAGCATTTAATTTGAAAATGTTAAACAATATGCGGTGCATGAAAAACAAATTGTAATTACACGTCTTACATTCGAAAAGTTGGTACATGTGTCTATTTTGTTTAGCAGTTAGAAAGAAAAATTAGGCAGTTATAGGATTTCCTTCAGGCACCTCACATAAATAGCTAGATTGTTTGCAACGAACCACACATTGTATGGAGTAACGTTTGGACATAAAAACGCATCATGTCTCATTATGTTGACAACATTGTTAGCTCTCGCTCATAGAACATACGAAGCTTGATAAAATATATTGAGTTGTTTGTTTGAAATTTAGAAGCAAGCACAATGTTTGCAAAGAAAAGTCCATTGCATAAGCTATGTCTATCAGGCAAAAAAATGAGAGGCTAACCCCCCCCCCCCCAAAAAAAAATCCTTTGTTTGTTTTTCAAAATAGTGCCAAAGATTCAAAAATTTTGCATTACTAAGTATGTGATGGAACATGTACTAGCCTTATAAGACAATTTGTTATAAAATATTTGGTTGCCCTCTCTCCCGATCTATTCAAGTCCTAGAAATGGCCCGACTCATTTTTTTTTACATCCCATTACATGTTTTTTTTTCTTCCGTCAACGAATATGTTTAAAATTTTAGGAATTTTTTTCTCACCTATAAATACGGACCCAATAATTTTTCCCTGAGTTGGAAGGACCACCAAACGTCATTTTAAAGATGGTATAAAATATTTATTAATGTTGATTTTTTTTCTTTACTCTGTAAAATTGTAATTTTGACAAAAAGGGCAAATAGAAAAAGTTTTTTTATTCATTAAATCTCCTAACCCACTCTGAATGATTTAATTCCTTTTCAAATGTTGCTCCGCTAAAATCAAAATTGTAAATGTTTATTTGACAGAGTATACGAGGGTAAATCAAAAAGTAAACGATACATCTTAGGTATTTGATAGTTATATTATTGTTGAAATATTCAAGTATTTTTCAAAGTGTAAATTGGAGGTCTTTGATAGCATATTGCTTAATTAAAAACACATCCCTTTTCAAACTTGCTAATATATCACTGGGCAATATAACAAGTATCATATTTAACCATCTGCTTTCCTTCACTAAAACGATCTATCCAATAATAGATTGAATTTGTAGGAAGTTATTTGTCTTAATAAACTATGAACAAATTCTTATATGCTACTTCAAAGGCATTTTTAAGATATACCATAAATATTTTAGTCGTTTCTTAAACGAGTTCCACTGAGGCAACCATTTTTCGTCACAAGTACCTGCATAATGACGTCATTATGAGCAAAACTTTATTCAGCATATGCTATTTTATAGAATTTGTGTTTGGCTATGTGTGCACCAAATTTGTTTCTTAAATCTGAATTGTGGTTTTGTAGATATAGAGATAGTTCGCGAACTTTTTGATCACCCCTTGTACTAGTAGGTACTAAATCAAGGTCATTCATATCGATTTTATGTGTTTAATTTCTTTGTGTTTCATTGGTGATAATTAAAATTTTGATATATATTATAAGTTACATGTATGTGTGGCAAACTTACAAACTTTTAATTCTTAACTTTGATGTTGCTCATTTTTCCTTACCTGGAATCAAAGAGTTTAAGATTTTTTCTTTGATATCAATAAGTACATTATTTAACAACTGTTCGATAATAATACTAAATAAGATACTTCGAGCCATACTATAACACATTTCCTCTTTTAAAAGTGTTCATACTATTTGAAATATTTTGCAACTGTAATTCTCTTGTACATTTAAAGATTGTTATGTCCCTCCATATTAAGAAGAGTTCTGGAAAACAAAAATTTTGTGCTAAAAATAGACCACGTGCTGCTATCCATGAACTACTTTCATGGTTCTTTACACTCTTTTTGAAGACAACGATACCTTGTTTTGAACTTGAAATTATCATTTAAAAGTGCAAAATTTAGACATTTTCTCAACAAATGGTTGTAGAGAGAACATTGATGCACAGTTTGCATATTTTTTTGGATTTTTTAAGGCTCTGCTGAATTCTGTAGCTGCGCAGTTCTAAGGAGCATATCAAAAGCATTTTTCTGCAAACGTATAGATTATATATGCACAACGTGCATTCAGTTATGAATATTTATTGTATTTTTATCATAAGGACTTAAAATTTGATCAAAATATCATGTATTTTAGCCATTTGAAGAAATGTTTACATTTTGTTCTCACAGCACTAAAGGTGGCCGTACATCCCCCTTAACCTGTGCAATGGCCTGTGTAGGGGAGCATCTCTCTGATTCATCTAAAAGACACAAAGTTGTACCATACAAACACAGAAAATCTACTCCTAACGTTAACTACCCAAAATGTCCAAACCACACCCAGAAACATTGTGAAGTTTATTGTGAGAAATGTGACATTCCTGTCTGTTCTACCTGCATCTCCTCTGATAAACATAATGCGCATAAGTTAACAGATATCTTAAAGAATCCCAGCTTTATTAAAGAAATTTTAAACAACGACTTGACAGAACTAGAAAAAGTAATATATCCTACCTATGAAGAAATTGTATCAGATTTAAAATCTGAAAAACCTAACTTGGAAAAACATTATGAGAAACTGACAACAGCTGTCACCAAACAAGGAGAAGACTGGCACAGAGAAATTAACATCATTGTCAACAAACAGAAATCTGAAATTGATGAGATGAAAACTAAACACCTGGCTGCTCTAAATAAACAGGAAAAAGAAATCAAACAGATTATTTCTGAAGTAAAACAGTGCATAGTTGATCTGAAGAAAATACTGGACCCCAATGATATATCCATAGCATCTACATACGTATCCAAGAATGCTGAATTCAGAAGTTTACCTCCTAAAATCAATGTTTCATTACCAAGGTTCTCTCCTCATCAGATCAACACAGAACAGCTCCATCAAACGTTTGGTTCTCTGTCGCCATTATCCATTACAACAGAAGAACATGGCTACACAATGAAGACACCAGAAGCTGTATCCTGTCCTCCAGTCAAATCACTGCTTGCTGAACAAGAGCTCATCACCACCATATACACTGGGTATAACCTATACAGTGTCACCTGTCTCAGTGATGAAGAAATCTGGACACTTGGGTATGACAAAATCATGAAACTTTACAACCTCAAGGGCAAACTACTGAAGTCAATCCAAACCAAGTCTGGGAAAATACCACGTGACATAGCAGTGACAAGGAGTGGAGATCTAGTTTATACTGACTGTGATACAAGAACTGTAAACATAGTGAAAAGTGACCAGATACAGGAAGTGATCAGACTACAGGGGTGGAAACCTTACAACATCTGTAGTACCTCCTCTGGTGACCTCCTGGTTACAATGATCAGTGATGATTATGAACAATCAAAAGTTAAAATTGTCCGTTACTCTGGTTCCACAGAGAAACAAACCATTCAGTTTGATAGTGAAGGTAAACCTCTGTATTCATATGGTTACCCTAAACACATCAGTGAGAACAGGAACCTGGATATCTGTGTGGCTGACTATGAAGCCCGTGCAGTAGTGGTGGTTAATCAGGCAGGAAATCTCCGATTTAGATACACTGGTCATCCCTATACTACCAAGAGATCATTCTTTCCATACGGCATCACAACAGACAGCCAGAGTCAGATCCTGATATCAGACTATACTAACCACTGTATCCACATCCTATATCAGGATGGACAGTTCCTCCGTTACATTGAAAACTGTGATCTAAACTATCCATGGGGTTTATGTGTAGACACCAGAGACAACCTCTTTGTGGCTGAGTATTACAGTTGTCAAGTGAAGAAAATCAAATACATGTAAATAAAACTTTTTTAATTATGACAACTGTGTGATAGGGTTTTTTCCAATAACCAAAATCCTAAGAATTTACTGTTTGATTCAGGTCCACTTTCTAGTGCTCATGTGTATTTGAGAGGGAGGGTGAGAGGGTGTGTGTGTGTGAAAATATCTAAAAAATAATCATATTACATGTAATGCAGGGAAATATGAATAAAAGTTAATTAATAATAATTGACCGTATCATTTTTCTATCCATGCAAGTTTGGAATAACTGCTTAATAATATAATATTGACGCTGGAACTCTTTGAATTCTTCGTATATTGGCGAGCTTGAAAAAACAATTTTTTTTCAAATTGACCCTCAATCATGCATTGCACAGAGAAGGGTTTAAATTCTGTTGTACTGTGATACAGAGTGATATGCCCTATGATCTTTACTTCTGAATTAAAACTTCATCATTTTATTCTATTCATCCAACCGTCTAAACTTGCCAAGATAAATTAATTAAACACCTTAATCACGTTTTTCATGGACTCATTGGGTGCCAGATGATAGGTTTGACAGGTCTGGACGATTTCTAAATAAGGAAGTCAAGAACGATACCCGTGAATTGCTAATAATATACAGAATAAACAAGGCGCTTATCCTTCTGATTAATCAGATAACAGCATTTAGACAAACCCATGGGAGAATAAATAAAACACGTGGTTTTTAAGTTTTTTGCTCAAAAAGATTTTTTAGAACAAAATTTTTGTAAACTTTATGCGCATTTGGGAATAATATAATATTTATGACAATTCTACCGTGAACAAACACGACTTGAAAGCTTGGAATATGTTTTAAGTGGGATAAAAAAAAATCTGGCTGGAGGAGTTTATTAGCAATCCCAAAAGTTTACTTACGTTAAAAAAATGATATAAATATGGTAAATTTTCAGTTTTTAGAGCCTGACATAAAAATATTATCAAAAAGATAACAGTCTTTATTATTTTTGATTGTTTCTTACAGAATACTAGTAGTCCATACAGTTTCTGATATGCGAGGTAAGATATTGGGATAAATCCCATTCATATTTAACCTAATTACAGGATTCTCTTTTCTCCATGCACGTTAAACGCCTTTCCTTAATATGCCCATTTAAAGTCTGCATAGCTAAGTATTCGGCACTCATGAAACCCATGATAATGCAAAACTATGTGTATACTCCATACGATAAACAGATAAACACTTGATTGAGTTGATCTAGTATACACATGGAATTTAAGCATTATCGATGAAAATTGGACGGCTAAGCAAAATTATATTTACCATCATATAATATATTCTGGTAGACGTTATAATTGAACTTGATAAAAACTTGCTGGTGCGATCTATACCTCTGTAAACGATTACATTCTGTCTTGCATAATTTTTTTTTCTTTACCGAGATAAAAATGTCAAGGTTGTTCACGGTAAAAATGTGAGGAATATCTTATTCTTCAAAAGTTTTTATCTTACTTCTACAGATTTTTTTGTTAAAAAAATCTTTTTGAGGAAAAAAAAAACAAAAGCACGTGTTATCTTTTTGTTCTTTTAAAATATGTTTTTGGGTGTGTAAAAATTCTGTTGTCTGATTGGACAGAAAAATAAATATCCGGTACGTGTACTTGTATAGCAACTTCCGGTTATTAGGTCTTTCCATCTTTCTGTGGAAATACCTATTGATTTCCTTCTGTTTCATCTTTTCCTTATTAGGTCTTTCCATCTTTCTGTGGAAAGACCTATTGATTTCCTTCTGTTTCTTCTTTTCATTATTAGGTCTTTCGACCTTTCTGTGGATAGACCTATTGATTTCCTTCTGTTTCTTTTTTTTCTTTTTAGGTCTTCCCACCTTTCTGTGGAAAGACCTCTTGAAATGCTTCTGTTTCTTTTTATTTTATTTCTCCCCTTAGCTTTTGAGACCGTAAGACTTATCGAAAAACTTTTTAGTTCATGATACTGGATATATAAATTTATTCCGAAAAACGACCCCGTATATTTTAACTTCGACCCCTTACACAGTTATTGGCCCTTTCACCATTAAGCTTGTTATCGCTACTCCTCAGAAACCGTAAACGTCAGAGATACGAAACCTTCAACATTGTCTTGAACTAATTTAGGAGACTTTTCAATCTATTCATTGCGAAAGTTTTCTTTGACCCTTTCAATGAGTAATTGCCCCTGAAAGTTTATAAATTTTACAAAAAATTAAAAATTTTCAAAACGAAAAGTCGTAGAGACATGAAACCAACTGCATAACATTTAATGACCTTTTGCCTTCAAATTCATTTCAAGGTCAAAGGTCAAGGTCATTCCAAATATGAGAAATAAATTTCCCTTAATAGGTCTCATGTCCTTAAACATATACTTTCTATCTTATGTCTTTAATGTGTACTTTTGAAGCTCTTTAGAAGATATAATTCTTGGCCCCTAAGACTGAACCTTTAAAAAGTTGTTGCCCCTTGTGCTAAAAACTCTTGTTATCGCTACTCCTCTGAAACTGTTAAATGTAAAGGTATGAAACCTTCACGAATGGCTTTGCCTAATTATGGGGACTCTTCAATCTATTCATTGCGAAAGTATTTGGTGACCCCTTCAATGAGTTATTGCCCCTGAAACTTTTTGAATATTACAAATAATTAAAAATTTTCAAAACGTCAAGTCGAAGAGACATGGGACCAACTGCATAAGATTCATTGACCCTTAATCTTCAAATCATGTAAAGGTCAAAGTCATTCCAAAAATGAAAGAATTAGCTCTTTTTATATCTCTTTTGTCTTTCATCATATACTTAATGTCTATGCATCATTATTATGTACTCTTAAAACTGTTTCAAAGATTTCACTCTTGTCCCCTAATATAAACCCTTTTAAAAGTTATTGTCCCTTGTGTGAAAAACCTTGCTATCGCTACTTCTCCAAAACCGTAGACTGTAGAGACACCAAACCTTTACTAATATCTTAAGGGTCTTTAGGTCTTACTTCACTGTATACATGTAAGTGCAAATGTATCTGATGACCCCTTTTATGAGTAATTGCCCTTTAAGTTCTTTGTACTTACTATAAATCCTTTTAACTTGAAAAGTATAAGGCATAGAAGCATGGGGCAACTGCATTGTTACCTTTGACATTTGACCTTGGATATTTTTTCAAGGTCAAAAGTCAAGGTCATTCATTTTTTTTTTTTAATTTTAATTTTTTCTCGTTCAAGAGAGTTCTGGTTTCTCTTTCATGGAATTTAATTTTTAGGAGTCATGTATAAAACAAATTAAAAATTCAAATAAGGTGGAAAGACCTCTTATTGTTCTATGAACAATAAGTCTCGTAGTTAGGTCTTTCCACCTTTCTGTGGAAAGACCTCTTGAAATGCTTATGTTTATTATTATTTTTCAGTTATGGCCTTTTGAACCAAAGAACTTATCAAAAAACTTTATAGTTCATGATACTAGACATCAAAAGTTATTTCGAAAAACTACCCAACGAGTATGACGTATAACCACCTTCAGAGTTCTTGCCCTTTGTATGAAAAACCTTGTTATCGCTACTCCTCCGAAACCCTTAACCATAGAGATGCGAAACCTTCACTAATTTCTTTGACTTACTGAGTACATGTGACATTGATCTTGGGAATGAATTCGTTGACCCCTTCATTGAGTTATTGCCCCTGAAACTTTATACATTTTATAAAAAAATTTAAAAAATTAAAATGAAAAGTCGTAGAGACTTGGGACCAACTGCATAAGATTCACTGACCTTTGACCTTCAAATTCATATCAAGTTCAAAGGTCAAGGTCATTCCAAATATGAGGAATAAATTTCTTTTAATAGTTCTTATGTCCTTAAACATATACTGTCTATCTTCTGTCTTTAATATGTACTCTTAAAACTCTTTCGAAGACTTCATTCTTGTCCCCTCAGATTGAACCTTTCAAAAGTTATTGCCCCTTGTGATAAAAACCTTGTTATCGCTACTCCTCCGAAACCGTAGACCATAGAGACACCAAACCTTCACTGATGTCTTAAGGGTCTGTAGGCCTTACTTCACTGTATAAGAGCGAAAAGATTTGATGACCCCTTATATGAGTTATTGCCCTTTAACTTCTTTGTACTTATTATTAAACCTTATAACTTGAAAACTATAAGTTGTAGAAGCATGGGGTCAATTGCATTGTTACCCTTGAAATTTGACCTTGAATATTTTTTTAAGGTCAAATGTCAAGGTCATTCTCCATTTTTTTTAAATTTTCATTTTTTCTATCTTTTAAGACAATTTTGGTTTCTTTTTCATGGTATATAATTTTAAGGAATCAGATATAAAACAAATTTGAAATTCAAAGAAAGTGGAAAGACCTCTTATTGTTCTGTGAACAATAAGTCTCCTAGTTAGGTCTTTCCACCTTTCTGTGGAAAGACCTATTGAAATTCTTCTGTTTATTATTATTCTTTTTTATTTTTAGGTCTTCTCACCTTTCTGTGGAAAGACCTATTGATTTCCTTCTGTTTCTTCTTTTCCTTATTTTTTATAATTTTTCCGCCGTGTGATTTTTTGTTTCAAGATTTAACGAAAAGATTTCTATTTCATAAGAATGTACTTTGTAAAAGATTTTCGCAGTTGACCCTGCGTAAATGAACTTGGACCCCTTTCAGAGTTATTACCCCTTTCGCAAAAAGGTTTGTTAACGCTACTCCTCCGAAACTGAAATCATAGAGAAATTAAACCTTCAATATCTGACCTTGACCCCAAAAATGAATGATATATATTCATTACCTTTACCTAGATTCAGCTTCAAGTTTTAAACTCAAGTTCATAATTTTTTTATGACCTTGACCTTTGACCTTTGACCTTGATAAATGACGTTGACCTTTGACCCCCCATTGACCAAAAGGTATCAATCAAGCTTAAGGTCGTTGAGGTATTTGCAACTCTTACTCTTACAAATGGTTATTTCCCCCCCCCCCCTTTCTTAAAAAAAAAAAAAGCAGCATAGAGAAAATGTCTACAAGTCAAAAGTCATGATATATCGACATAAGATTCGGAGTAAAAGCAAGAAGAGACCTTAAAGAAAGTGTCCTGAGAGTTTTAAGGTGAGTCTCTAAAATACAATGAAATTCTAGTGAAAATCGGCAAAATCTGCA